TTCGCATCTTTAACAGCTAGCCTCAGTCGCTCCTAAATATCGTTCAGTTCAGTCGTTGAACCTGCGGGTCTACACTTTATAATCGTTTATCTCCCTGGATTCTCGCAGGGCAAATAGATCTCTCCTCGCCCACACCTCTAAAGCCCAGGAACAAAGGTGTGTCGTGGCTACCACAACAAAAAACAAAAAGTAAAACCAGTGTTCTTGCTTTTGAATATTTAATAAATACGCTTTATTAATAATGGTCTGTTTTGTTCATAGAGCATACCAGTCAACAGCCAGCCTGTTGGCCTTTATTACAAACAGAATCTGACAATAGCCATCCTAATGGTGGTGGGGGTTTTTAATGAGGCATATTAAAAACATACAAAGGCAAAAGGGCTGAAAAAGCGTTGAATGGGCCCTTTCAATAAACATACACTTCGTTTCATGTATTGCAATCGCATATACTATAGCGTCCATCGTCATGTGTCAGAATCCTAATCTTCGGATGAATTCGAACGTGAAATTTCCAACTTGACTCATCAGCGAGCACTTTCCCAATGGCGCGCTACACTACAGCTTTTCCAATATTGACCCATCCCATGTTGCTCTACAATCTTCACGCCCCCTGACAACATCTCAACTGCTTGAACTTCAACATCCACCCCGCGCTACACGGCACCTACAGACAATACATTAATGTATTTTGGTTCACCAAAAAGGGGAAACTCTGTACTTAAATCAGTAAAAATCATTTCTGGTAATCAGCCTGTAGGGGAGCAGTCAGGAAACAGATGCTGTATTGATCTCACTGAAGCAAACCCAGTCTCCATCATCAAACTACCCTGGCTACGTTGGTCCAAAGTGCAAAAACGTAGAGGGTTTACAAATAATGCTCTTAAATTGATACTGGTTTACATTTTTCTCCTTTTCTTTCTTATATGTTTTGCGTCCAAGTTCACATGACTTTTCAAGATCCCGGCCGTGAGAACAAAGAAATGGCGGTCATTTCTCTTTCATTTTTAGGAAAAAAATCAATATTTTTGAGTTAGTTTCTCAATTAAAAATGCGTTTTGATATACATTTCTAGCGAGAAATATGTACTTTATTTTCATATATCAGTGAATGTACATAATCCCTCCCGCTTGCTCGTTGTTTTGAAGAAGATGTTTTCAGAATCTGGCCAGAATAAGTGAAACTGAAACGTTTCAGTTTCAGGGCCATTATTGTAAACCCTCTACGTTTTGCACTTTGGACCCAACGTAGCCAGGGTACGTTTTTATGAGACTGGGTTTTGACTGGAAGCAATGACGGTCCTTTCCTCTTTTCAGAGGTGAAACATTGCCATGGTAACCACAGGTACAACAAATTCAACCGGACTTGAATCCTGTTCAAAAGGAACATAAACATATATAAAACAAAAACGAACGACAATATGGAGGAGACCAACACAAATTAGAGAGATAACTGCACGACGCCGACACAGTCGCACTAGCTCAAATCAAAATCGGATACTACCACAGTGCGCCTTGACTCTTTTTCTCACACCCATGTAATATCGAATCCCCCAACAAACACACAGGCATCACAACTTTCTCCATTCTGGCGCCCCTAGTGGCCGACCTGAGCGAATATACCTATGATATCTATCACATCTCTCCACCCAGTTACCTCACACACGATTTCTAAGCATGTTCTTAATCATACACCACCAGAACACTAGCAAACTGTTACTAATATTCTTAAATTTTAAAAACAATATTAGTGCATTTTAGTACGACACACCAAAACCTCCATTACAACAAAAAAAACAAGTCCCTCTTAGTCTGCGAACTGAAAGTCTTCAAGGTACTGGGCAACTCTAATTTCCCCACTTCCTTTGACTGTCTCGCCTTACTGGAGTTCCAGTTTTACAGTTCTTTGTTCAATCTCTGAAGCTTCCTTACAGCTTCCACTAGCTTGCGTGGTCCATAACAACTCTGTCAAACCATGAGTACACCATTAGCTTCCAGCCATGCTCATAACCTTTCTCTTCGTCGCCTGCCTTAGCTGAGTAGACGGCAGTCTGTTGGTCTGCTGTTGCATTTTCTTTCCTGGTCATCGTGGGTGAATCTGGTCCACCTGTTCCTCACTACACCCTTCCGGTCATCACCCCAGCCACTCACCTTTGTGATGACACTCCTCCAGTCACCGACTCCACAATTCCAGGGACATCACCCTCGGCCTCTAGACTCGGAATTTTGGCGTCGCACCAGCAGTCCTCTCTCTCGCGACACCAGCGGTCTTTTGCCTTCTTTTGTTGACTCGATCTTTTATCGTGTCTTCCTTGCGTTTCTTCCTCTATCATTTCCTCGCTTAAGTCTGGGTGGACTTTGCAGTCCCCAGTGTCGCCCACGTACCTTTCTCGCCCGAGAAGCAGCTCCATGCTCGGAGACAGACCCTGTTGTATGTGAACAGGAGTCACTCTGTAGCTAACATAACCACTCTGCGCTACCATACCTGTCAGTGTGTCCCCTCCTGGACATTTTTTTTACTCATCTCTCTTTGAAATGTTGGTACCTCTCTCTGCGTAAACACATTACTGCGGCCACTGGTAAGGGTGGCAGAGGTCCATGACGGCATACCCATTCTTTTTTAAGAAGTCTTTGAAACTCTTGTGCTGGCTCGAAAACAAGTGCCATTTAGTCCAGACACCACCCCCGACTCCGGCATACCATGGTTACTCTGAAACGTCGTGACGGCAGCGCCTCCAATTGTGGTGGCTGAAGTGGCAGAGTTCCACATACCACGTCCATCCATTTTGAATGTGCTCCCGACAAGTACAAAAAACATCTTCCCATAAACGGTCCTGGCATAATCCCACATGGTCACGGCTCCAAAGGCTGTCAAGGGCGCCAATCCCCAGGGCCGGTGTAAGTCGTGAGCTGCGGTGCAGGAATCGTTGAGGTGCTCTTGACATCGTTGTACAGCCCCTTTACGGTATCCTCCACCCCGTCTTTGCTCCAACCTTTGGCCGAAACGATACATACAACTCCCTAAGCCAGGCTTCATTCGGTACACTCTGGGTGGCACTGATCGCAAGCTCGTCTCAAAAATCCTCTTTTCCTTGACCTTGCGCGATTGCAGAATCACTCTTGAGCCCCACATAACACAACACACACCATCGTCATGGACTACGCGATTCATGCGTTCCTCACCTCATAGGGGGCGCAAACCCTCCCCTTCCAGTTTCCGATGACCACAGCCCCATTTCGTACCATCCCTCCGCGCCGACCCTTGAGAGCTAC